GGAGGAGGGAGGGCGGAGGGCCAGGCCGGCCGCGGCATGTGACAAAGCGGGGCATGAGCAAGGCCCCACGCAGCCCGGCGCGGCAGCCAGCGCGGCCCGGCCGGCCTCCGCGCCGCTCGCCGCCTCCGCGCAGCCCGCCCGCAGCCCCTGCTGCGCGTGCCTGCGGGAAGAGGTGGTGCACCACGTGCGTGCCGATGTCGTGGTGGATCTTGTTGAAGATGCCATAGTCGCGGTCAATGGTGGACAGGCCGCCGCGGAAGTACGACCACTCCTCGCCGCGGTACCACGGCACCTCCTCCTCGGGGTCGCTGGGGCCGTGGTGGTGCAGGTACGTCACCACGTCCAGCCACATCACAAACACCCAGTCTGAGGGGAGGGTGGCGGGGAGGGCGTGGGGGGGGTGGAGGAAGGGGAGGGGGAGGCCACCGGGGGTACGGTGGCGGGCAGGCAGGTAGGCGGGCAGGCCACCCGCAGGCGACCGGCAGCGACCACCGCAGCACAGGGGGAGCCGCGTGGCACGGCGCGGTACGCGGGCCCGGCACAGGCAGCCGCCAGAGCGTTGCCGCACGCGCAGCCTGCTTCCAGCGCGGGCGGCGGCGGCAGCGGCAGCCCGGGGCCGCGGCGCGGCGGGCGTGCGTGCTCACAGGGCAGCACGTAGAGGTTGAGCATGGCCAGGGGGCCCAGGGCCAGGGTGCAGCCCGCCAGGAAGCCCACCCACGCGCACTGGAACTTGTTGGACGTCTCCACCAGCGGGCCCTCGCTCTCGGTGAACAGATCACACTTGGGGTCGTAGTGGGAGCCGTCCTTGCCGGGGCTGCGGTTGAGCAGCTGCAGGGGGGGCAGGAGGGCGGAGGGCGAGGGCGCCGTCGGCGGCGCGGCCGGGCGAACCCGCTGCCCGGGGCGGCCTGGCTGGGGCTGCCCTCCCCGCTCGCCGTGCGGGGAAGCTGGGAGGTCCGCACTCCCCTGGCTGGCGCCCCTGGCTGGCGCTGCTGGCTGGCGGCGGCGCTCACGTAGAAGGGGTATGCGAAGAGGGGGAAGGGGAAGAGCAGGCGGCCCAGCTTGCCCCACTTGTCCATCTTCTCGTAGTTTGACTTGGTGGTGGGGTACCAGCTCTCGTCGTTCTCCACGTGGCCGTGCTGCAGGAGGGGGCAGGCGGGGCGGGGGCAGGGCGGGAGGGGAGGGCGCGGCGCGGTCAGCGGCGAGCCGCGGGGAACGGGGCGCTGGCGATGCGCAGCGCGCGCCATGCCCACACGCAGGGCTGCCTTTATAGGAATCCCCAGTAGTCGGGCTGGCTGGCTGGCTGGGCGGCTGGCTGGGCTGAGGTGGAGTTGAATGGCTGGCTGGGCGGCGGGCTGGGCGGCCGCGGGCAGGCGGCGCACGTTGGCGTGGTGGGTGCGGTGCGAGATGCGCCAGCCGTGGTAGGGCACCATGATGGAGGAGTGCACAATGTTGCCCACCAGGTCGTTCAGCGCCTTGTTGTTGCTGAAGCTCTGGTGGCCGCTGCGGGGGGCGGGGAGGCGCGAGGAGGGGCGGCAGGCGGTGAGCGGGCAACGGCGAGGGGTGTGCACGCGTGGCGGCGGACGCGCGCGGGCGAACGTGCGCCGCGGCCCGCCCCACGCTCACCAGTCGTGTCCCACCACGAAGAGTGCCCAGAACATGGTGCCCTGCGCGAACCAGTAGAGCGGCCAGACCAGGGGGTTGTCCAAAAAGTAGGCGCCGATGGCCAGCGCCGCCACCACGCCCACGTCCAGCGCCAGGAAGCCTGCGGGAGAGGAGCGGGAGGGGGTTGCGCGGCGGGAAGAAAGTCCGTGGGCGGGCTCCGGGGCTTGGCAGGAGGGAGCGCGGGGGGCTGAGGCGGCGCGGACCAGCTGCCGCAGGCTGAGGCGAGAGGGGAGAGGAGCGGCGGGAGGTCGGTTGGCCGCACATGCGCCGCCGCCTGCCCTTCCCGCCAACCCCGGCTGCGGGACGCACCGGCCGAGCGGACCGTGTCCTTCACAAAGCACTCTGGCGGGATGGCATCACGCATGTCTTGGAGGGTGAAGGGAGGGGCGTTGCCCAGCTTCTTGCCGCCCTGCGGCAGCATGGGGTCCGCAGGTTGGCGGCGGCGGCGGCGGCGCAAGGCACCGCCCGGCGGCAGCAACCCGGATGCACCAGCCGGCGCCGCATGTTTGGCCCTCACTGCCCCCTCAGATTGGCCGTGGGCACCCCCAGGCCCAACGCGGGGCGGCTGTGGTGGTAGTGCGGCTGGGAGAGGGCACCGGCCCCACCTCATACTTGGTGGTCTGCCCAGCGCCCTGCTGGCCCAGCATCTCCTCAGCGGGCGCCGCGATGTTGGCCACCCGCACCACGCCGGCCCGCCGCCTCAGAGGCAGCGCCCGGGCCGGTCCAGCCGACGCAGCGGAGCGCCTGGCGGCGCATAGCGTGCTGCTGCTGCTGGAGAGGAGAGCGGCCGTCATCTAGCTGTGCAGACCCAACCGGAAAAGATGGAAATGCAGAGGGGGAGGCTGGGTGGAGCGCAATCTTGCTGAGCCCATGCACCACACAGCACCCAGCAGCGCCCTGCACCAGCCTCGTTCACATGGCCCAGATTTGCCACATCGCCTGGCATTTCCGAATTCGGGCACCAGGCAGCGATTGAATTCGGCCACAGGCACGGCAGCCGGGCCGCCCCTCCCTGGCAGTTCCCCTGGCGCGCCACCTTTCGGTTCACCACAAACTACCTCTGCGCTCCCTCCCCCAACCAACCATGGCTCCTCAGGCTATAATGGCCGGCCTGTCCTCCCGCAGCGCCGCCTGCGCCGCCAGCAGCAGCGGGGCATTCCGCTCCGCGGCGGCGGCGCCGCTCCGCCGCCTGCAGCAGCGGCCGCCGCCGCCGCCGCCGCAGCAGCAGGCCAGGCGGCCGCTGCCGCCCGCACGGGCGGTGGAGCTGATGCAGCTGGCAGACCTGGACATTGACTGGTCTGACACAGACACCCAGATCGGGGCACTGGGCGCTGTGCTGGGCTTGGCGCTGGGCATCGGCGCCCCCATGTTTTATGCCAGCCGCGACGAGCGCGACGAGGCGCGGCTAGAGGAGCTGCGCGCCCTCAACCGCGCCACCAAGGAGGAGACAGGAGAGTACATGTCGCAGGTGCGGCTCCCGGGGGGGGGGGGGGCGCATGCGGCAGCGTCGCCGCCTGCCGGCCGAAAGGGCACATGGCGGCCGGCTCCGTTGTGCACGACTGAAACGCGCAGTGCACACACCTTTGGTGCCCGCGACAGCCATTGTGAGGATGTGTGTTTGCCGCATCACCCCACGCTTGCATGCTGTGTGCGCCATGCCGCAGGAGGAGATTAACGCCATCCGGCCCGCCCGCTGGACAGGTGAGCGCCGCCTCGTGCGGTTGTGGCTGGCTGCGCGTGGCCTTGCCCTGCTCAGGCAGCGCTGGCACGCAGATGCAGAGGGGGGCAGCGCCTCAGGCCTTCGTGCCGGCAATCGGGAGCTAACCCCCTGCTTGGTTGCGCCTGCCCCTGACCTTTCTGACATTGCTGCAGATCGCCGCGAGTTTGTGGATGATGATTAGGTGTGGACTCAACCGCTTGAAGGAAGGGCCGGCCACTGGTACTGGAGCGGGGCGTCTGACAGACAACCGACCCCCCGCCTGCAATTTTCCGAACCAACCGTTTCTGAATGTGTGCTTGATCTGCTTGCTTCTTGAATCTCAGTTTATTTGCAATGCAAACATCCAGTGGAATCGCTGAGGGACAGCCAGCTGTTGGACTTTACAGGGGCGTGGGGTAGACGCACAACTGGTGTGCGCAGCCATGGGGGACTGAGACGACTGCCACGATACTGAGGGCTGTCTACAGCCATGGCTCACTCATGAGTTGGCCAAGCGGCGGCGTGGCAGGATTTTGCTGGCCCAATGTGCACCAGAAAAGGGGGGTTCGAAGAGAACTACAATCAGCGTAAATGCTGGTAGAAACAAAATGTGGAGCAGAGGTACCAAGGGAAAATATACCGAGAGGGAACAGGAGTTCAACATTCGACGCAGCGAACACACAAGGTGGCCAGCAAAAGAGCTTGCTTGCAGGCATGACACGCAGCAATGGTGTGCATGCCGCCGGAAGCATAGGCTGGGTTCAGCAGCATCAGTGATCAGAATCATCGGGGGTGTTTCAACATAGGGGCCCAGTGGGGGCGAGTAGGGTGTTGTCGTGCCTGCCATCCACGCTTGGCCTTTACCGCTTCACGTGGCGCACAAAGCGCAGCGCCAGGTAGGCGAAGAAGCAGAAGACTGCAGGGCAGGAGGGGCAGCAGCCGGGGCTGTCAGCATGACGCTGCTGTGCATGACGCGAGCACGGCGCTGACCAGAAGCCCCCTGCGGCCTGCGCCAGCAGCGCAGCCAGCCAGCGTGGCCACTCACCCACGGTGAAGCAGGCCTCGATGCCCACCCAGCCCCACATGTTGATGCCGGCCAGCGAGTCTGCAGGCAGGCAATGGCAGCAGCGTGCGCAGGAAAAGGGTCGGTTCGCACCAAGTGGCGGAGACAGAGTCCTCGTTCAAGGCCGCAGGCTGCAGCACATGCTCCCAGCCCAGCAGCTGCGCCACTCACAGTAGTCGAGCACGGTTGTGTTGTTGACAAACACCACGTTGCGCTCGCCAGCAAACTGGTTGCGCATGAGCGCTCCGTACGCGTACCTGCACGCGGCAGCCAGGGAAGGGCTGGTCGGTGTTTGGTTTGGTTTGGTTTGGTTTGGAGGGTGCTGCGGCCCGCCGAGCGGTTGGGTGCGTGTGGCCTGTGCCAGGCCGCACCACCCCCGCAGCTGCCGCTGCCTGCCCCATGCGCAGGCCTGCGCACACCTGAGGACGTCGATGTACCCAAACCACTTCCAATAGTTTGGGATATCCTCCCAGCGGATCAGGCAGCCGGCAAAGAACAGCAGCGCCTGCATCGCAGTGGAGGGGTGCGGCAGGCATGTTCAAGCCGCCCACCTCGGACACCGCCCTGCCGTGGCGCCTGCTCTGGCGCGGCTTGCCCTGAGGAGACGGGAGGCGCATGCCAAGGGCCCACTCACCGTCACATAGGTGGGTAGCGCTGCATTGGCCACATCCATGTTGGGCGAGAGGGCGGCGATGGTGTAGGCCAGCACTGCGGGGGCAGGGAGGGGAGGGGGCACGGACGGGGTCAGGTGAGAGCCGGGCCTCGCGGGGCCAGCTGATGCGAGGTGGCAGATGCAGCAGCCAACCCGTGTCCATGCTCAGCCCGCTGAGGCTGCTCACCTATGCCGGTGGCCAGCGTTGCCAGGTAGACGAGCCAGAAGAGCACAAAGCTGCCTTGCAGCTGGAGGGCCCAGAACACGATGTTGGCAAAGACTGGAGGGAAGGAGGTGCGGCAGCGGGGTACGCAGCGGTTAGCCTGGCGGCAGCGTTGGGGCACCCCTTGAGCGCGGCGCTGGCCAGGCGCGGCTGCTCAGGCATGCCCATGCACGTTGGCAGCGGCGCACCGGCTCACCTATTGAGTTGATGAAGGCCAGGGAGAACTCCTCGATCATCTTAAAGGCCAGGTAGGTGGACACGCGGTACAGCCCATCCGACTGCTCCCGCACAAACAGCGGCCGCTCCAGCACGATGCTGGGCACGTAGCTGGCGGCGCCAAATGCAGGGAGCACAACCCACATAAAGAGCATGGCTGCGGGCAAGGCAGGGGCAGGCAGGGGACGAGCACGTCAGGGCCCAGACGAGCAGGGAGGCGGAGCCGAGGTGCGGCGCTCGCAAGCTGGAGGCCTGCAGCAGAGGCTGGGCGTGCGCCGGCGGGGGCGGGGGCGGGGGCAGCGGCAGGCATGAGCCGCGCAGCGGGCTGCTTGCAGGCCCCCGGGCCTGGCGTATGTCCCCCACCTGAGACGTTGGGGAGGTTGGTGGAGGCCAGGTTGTCGCCGATGCCCCAGAACAGGGTCATGATGATGAGAGAGAAGATGAGCTTGTCAGCCACGCGGGGGCCGAGGAAGTCGGGGCTGCGGTAGTTCTTGACGGTACGGTACTGCAGCAAGAGCGGGGCGGGGCAGGCAGGCAGCACCAAGGAGCCAGTCGGAGAGAATAGCGGGAAGCTGATTGGCGAGCTGGCATGGCGCCGGCAGTGCAGCAGGCTGACGGATAGCCAGCAGGGCGGGGCGGGGCGGGGCGGCAGCCCACCATGAACAGGGTCTTGAGGGCCTTCCAGGTGGGCACCGTGGTGGCGCGCCTCACAGCCAAGTCCTTCTTGGTGGCAGGGTCTGCGGGGCGGGGCAGGCGAGGGGAGGCAGGGTACCCGTCGGCAGGGGAGCCAGGTGGACCAGGCACACGCAAGCGCGCTGTGCGGTACAGGCGCCCCACCCGCCTGCGCCGCTCACCCAGGTCGGAGGCCATGGCCAGCTGCCGCTCCACCTCGCCGTCCGCGTCCGCCTTGAGCTGGCTCTTGGCGTAAGCGACGGCCAGGTCGGCGGCGCGCCCCTGGCGGTCTGCCTGCGTGGTGAAGTCCACAATCCACTCCGCCGCATTCTCGCCCTCCTTCAAGCCCTCCAGGCACGAGCACTCGGTGTGCGCCAGGGCCTGGAAGTACTCCACAGCGGCCGTGCCTGCAGCAGGGAGGGAGGGGGGCGGGGTCGGCACAGGAGGGGCGGGAGGGGCAGTGAGCCGGACGGGTGGGCCGGCACGTGCAGCGATGGGCACAGGCGTCGACCGCGCAGCCAGCAACGCAAGGCGCCAGGGCCGGCTGCGGTGCCTGTTTCCTGCTGCCCGCCGCACCGTTGGCGCCGAAGTAGGTCATCTGGCCGCGCAGCAGCAGGAGGAGGCGGTCGAAGAGGCCAAAGGTGTAGGGGGTGGGGGAGTGGATGGTGGCGCACACGGTGATACCGTGGGAGGCCAGCGACTTGACCACCGTCATCACCTCGTTGGCGGTGTAGCTGTCCAGGCCGCTGGTGGGCTCATCCAGGAACAGCACGCGGGGGCTGGTGACCAGGGCGATGCCGATGTTGACGCGCTTGGCCTGGGGCAGGGGGGTGGTGGGGGAGGGGCGCGCAAGGTGCAGGGCGGGGGTGAGGCGGGGGTGACCCGGCGCAGTGCTTGATGCAACAGACCAGGTGCCAGCAGCAGGACAGAGGGGATCAGGGGCAATCCTGGCTCACCTGGCCGCCAGAGATGCCCTTGTTCATTGAGCTGCAAACACAGAGGGGCAGGCGGTGAGTGCAGAGCCCGCGGCCACGGCAGGGCAGCAAGGCAGCCGGCGCGCCCTCTCTCGCTGCTCCCTCGCCGCGCCGCGCCGTTCGGTCACTCACTTGCCGATCTTGACGTCGCGGCAGGCGGCCAGGCCCAGCACGTCGATCAGCTCCTCCACCGCCGCCTGCTTCTCTTCCCGCGGCTCATCCACGGGGCGCTTCAGCTCCGCGGTATACATGAGCATCTCCTGGACGGTCAGCGACTCCAGCAGCGTGTCAAACTGCTCCACGTAGCCTGAGGAAAGAGGAGGGAGCAGGGAGAGAACACGTGTGGAGGAGGGCTGAGGGTGCACGCGTGTGGCGGCCGAGCGGTGCAGAGGCGGCGGAGCCCATATCACCGATGCCCACCTGTGAAGCGGCGGAGGAACTGCGGCGTGGGCTTGTTGCCGGCAAAGGCGATGCTGCCGTCCAGCTTGCCCACCGTCTTCCGCCCGGCCAGCAGGTCGAGCAGGGTGGTTTTACCAGAGCCAGAGGGCCTGCGGTTGGTGGGTGGGTGGGAGAGGCAAGGGTGAGAGGTTGAGGAGGCGAGCCAGAGGTTCACACAGCACAGTGCATGCGCCTGTGAAGTGCCTGCCATGTTCATTAACACAGGCCATGAAGTGTGTGACGTGCACGGCAGACTGACAAGCAGCCCGGCACGGCCCCTACACCCTTGCCCCACTCACCCCAGCACCCACACCCACACCCTCGCCCCTCTCACCCCATGAGCGCCGCCATCTCCCCGGGCAGGAGGTAGCCGCCGACATTCTGCAGCAGGCTAATGGTCTCCTTCTTGTTTTGGCTGTTGACCACGGTGTAGGTGACATCCTGCAGGTGGGAGGGGATGACCCAAGGGGTTAGCAAGTGGGTTGAAGTGGTGGTCGGCGGTGGGCAGGCGGGAGCGCCATGCACGGTGCAACCGTCAGCTACGGCCGCCCGGCTGGGCGCAGACGGCGGCAAATGTACCTTGAATGAGACTGGCATCCCCGCCGAGAGGAATGCCCGTGAGAGCTTCCTGTTTAGCGTCACTTGGAGTGAAGCGGTGGCGCCCGGCACGCCGCTCTCCAGGTCTTTGTCGCTGGCCTCACTCATGACTGTGGTGTGTGTGAGCAGCAGAGGAGTGGGTGTAGGGGGATGGTGCGCCCTGCAAGTTGTGCGTTGGGGACCTTTAAGCGGCGGAGAAGGGTTGGGGTGGGGGTGGGGTGTGTGAATTGAAAGAAACGATGCTCAAATGAGTTCTGCGGAGCGAGCCCGGAGCTAAATAGCCAGGCCATTCATCCCGTCCTTACCCTTGCGTAACCCGCTACTGGCCCCCCCCTGCCCATTTGGGTCAACATTTCACCCGCATCGTGATCGCGAGGGACGAATTGCGACCCAGCAGCGCTGTCCAGGCCTGGCGCCGACAAATCCTCCTGCCACGCATTGCTGGCGCCGCCACTGGTCACCCTGTGACGCAGCTGCCGCCCAGCTGCTGGCGTCCATGGCGCCCAGCTGGCGCGTCTGCCTCAAGACACATGTCTGATGGGTCCCGTCTGATGTGGATACACAGGCTGGATGTCCAGGACTTGCAGCAGCCGCGATCCCCGCTGGAGCGGCCCGCAGCCTGCCTGCCGATCCACCAGGCCGGCCGTGCAGAAAACAGTGCCACCGCTCGTTACAGCATGCTCACACATTGGCATCGTCCTCCACATCCTTGGCCAGCTCAGACAGCCGCTGGCGGACTGAGCGGCGCGACACGCGGCGGTGGCTCTTGGTCTCCAGCCGCGCCTCCGCCCCCTGCTGCCCTCCCGCCCTGCTCTTCATTCGCACGCTGCCCTCGCGCCGCTTCTTGCTGCGGGGAGGCAGGCAGGCAGGCAGGCAGGCAGGCAGGCAGGCAGAAGAAGCCAAGCATGCGGGTGAAGCGGCATGGGAGCAGCAGCAGCAGCAGCAGCACGGCAGAGCCAGCAGAGCGGCCCCTCGCCAGCAGCAACGTGCCGCCCACGCTGCCATCCCGTTGACGCCCAAGCAGGCAGGTGCATCCCGCCGCACGCACCCAGCCGCCCGCACGCAGCCCACCTGGCCTGCCGCTGCGCCGACTGCTCCTCCAGCACCTTGAGCTCAGCGTGGATTTCGCGGTACAGAGGGTACCGCTCCCACCCCGCCTCACGCACCACGCACCCCGGCTCCTGCAGGTGCTGGCAGCCACGGAAGGCGCACCTGCAGGCGCGCACCAGCAGGGCTGGCGCGAGGTGGCGGTGCCAGCGGGAGGGGCTCGGAGTCGCCCAGCCGGCGCCTGCCACTTCAGGGCTGCTGCTGCACATGTGGCCTCAGGCTGGCACGTTCCAGGCCCGACTGAGGATCCGCCGCCCGCCCACCCACCTGTCCTCCTCCAGCAGCCGCCTGATCTCGGGGAAGTGCTGCCAGAGGTCGGTGGCGGGCATGTCGGCCAGGTCTGGCTGGTTGAAGCCGGGGGTGTCGACCACGAGGCCGCCGCCGCCGCTGACACCGCTGCCGCCGCTGCCGCTGCCGCCGCTGCTGCCAGTACTGCTGCTGCTGCTGCCGCCATTCATGCCATCCACGCCGCCACCGCCCTCCAGCTCCAGCAGCGTGACGTTGCGGGTGGTGTGCTTGCCGCGGCCGATGCGCTGAGACACCTGGCCCACCGCCTGCAGCTCCACGCCGGCGGGCGGCTGCGCCACGCTGCTGACGCCCACATGCCGCCGCCGCTGCTGCTGCGGCTGCCGCTGCGGCTGCGGCTGCTCGGTGCTCCCAGCGGGCGGCTGCGCCACGTCCTGCCGCCGCCCCGGCTCGGCTTGTCCCGAGGCGCCAGGCGCTGCCTGGCTCCCCTGCTGCCGCTGCTCCTCCTCGCCGCTATCCTCTCCCTCCTGCTCCCCTTCCTCTTCCTCCTCCTCCTCCTCCTCCTCGCCGCCGCTGCCGGCGGCTGCCCCCGACGGCTCCGCCGCCATTGCATCCAGCGAGCTGTCCAGCCCCGCGGAGCGCAGGCGCAGGGCGTTGATGATGGACGACTTGCCCGCCCCCGAGGGCCCCGCCACCACCGTCACCCGCCCGCGCAGCACCTGCATCAGCTCCTGCAGCCCCTGCCCGCTCACCACGCTGACCGCCACGCCGCGGTAGCCCCAGCTGGCCACCTGCGGGGCGGGGCGGGTGGGCGAAGAAAGGTTGAGACGACGGCAGCTGGCACCTAGTCTCGAGTCAACAGCAGGTGTGTTACTCAAACACTGCGAGCATGCCTTGCACGGCGCGCCTTCTACTCCCGGCCTGCCCACCCACCGCCCTGTCTCCCGCACCACTATCACCCACGCAGATCCCACACACACCTGGTCCACCACCGCCTGCACCTCCTCTGCCGGCAGCAGGTCGGCCTTGTTGACCGCCACGGTGACGGGCAGCCAGGCGGCCTCCGCGCTGAGCAGGTAGCGGGTGGCCGGGGAGGGCTGGAAGGCGGGGAGGGCCGCCGAGAAGACCAGCAGCACGTGGTCCACGTTGGCCACGGCTGGCTCCGACAGCTGGCTGGTGCGGGGCAGCACCTCCTCAACCATGCCTGCACCGCACGGCGCCGCACAGCACCCCCCCAGGAGAACACAGGAGGGAATCAGGAGGGGAGCGGGGGCCGCAGCGTTGCACGGCGGGGGATGCAATGCTGGGCATGCAAGTGTAAGCAATGCCAGCGCCGCACACACCATGCATGGTCCAGCCGCAAAGGCCCACAGGCCCGGCCACTCGCCCCGGCCGCCCACCTCGCCCGTCTGCCCAGTCGATGCCCACCACCCTCACTCGGTCCCCCACCAGCACCTCCCGCCGCATCTTCTTGAGCAGCGCCCGCACCACGCACAGCAGGCGGGGGCGGGGGGGCGCCTCGCCGGCCAGGCCGCCCTCCAGGCCATCCACCTTGACTCGCACAAAGTTGGCCTGGGCCGCCATGACCTGCGGGGCGCAGGGCGGGCCGCAGGGCAGCGGTGGTGGCAGCAGGCCCGCCCGCACCAAGCCTGCTGGCGATGATCAGGTGATGCAGGCAGGCAGCTGCATTCCTGCACACAGCAGGCGGTTGGGAGGCCCACCTGGCCCAGTGCGGTGGTGGTGCTGCACAGGGGAGCCGCCGGCACCGGGCCGTTCTCGGAGGCCGGCACCGCATGCTGCTGCCTGTCCTGCCGCTGCTGCTGGCCCTGTGGTACGGCTGCTCCCACAGTGTCCCCTCTGCTGCCTCTGCTGGTGGCAGCTAGTGTTGCATACTGGAGCAGGCGCCTGCCTGCCGCTGGGTGCGGAGGCTGCGGCGGCGCTGCCGCCAGCGAGCGCCGAAGCGAGTACAGTGCCGACTGGCACGCCCTGCATCTCAGCATGGCGGCCCCCTCAAATTGTAGGTGCCGCTGCCTGGCTGTGCTGCTCTGCGCAACATTCACGAGCGGCATGCGCGGCACCTTGCGCCGCTCCTGCCGTCCCAGCGGGTTGAACTGGCATAGGTGCAATCGTGCCGCGGCTGCCAGCGATACAAGCGGGCTCAGCACAGCATGACCCAGCACGCTGGCGAAGCCCGTCAAGCCCGCTGCCGCATCCCGCCCTGGTGGCCTCCCAAACAGCCGGCAGACATCATCAGGTGCCTGAGTCAGGATGGTTGCCATCCAGACTGGAGGTTCTCATGCTTTGGTGAGCCTGAGGCAGGATGGATGACCGACGGCTACCGGAGGCGGCTTACCGTGTTTGGATTGCAAGCTGCCGTCATAGTGTTCCTATGCAGCCAAGACACTAATGTGCACCTAAATGGGCTTGCTGAGGAGGAGATGAGGTTCCAGCTTCTCTCTGGGGAGCTTGGGGACGGCGCCGGCAGCCCGCCCGACGTGCGCGCTTTGGCGGCAGCACTATCTTGATTTGCAGAACGCCAATTGTTGACAAATTGGTGCTGTTTCTGACCCACAACATGCAGCAAGTCTTATACAGCGCCCGCCTGCTGCCGGCGGTCCCCCAGCCCAACGCACGGTCGAGGCGAGGCGCTCGCTTTCTGGCGAGGTCCTCCACCCAGGATCCATACAGCCTGGACCCAAAATTCAGCGATGGCGACGGCCCAGGCGTGTCATCCCTCCTGGAGAGGGACCGCAAGTGAGGCCTCCCACGCACAGCTTGCAGCCCTGTTCCTTCCCTCTCCACATGCTTGCCACGCACAGTGAACGGGGAGCAGGCTGCCGGCGGCACTGCTGCGCCTGGCGGCGCCCATGCGCTGGCGGCGGCGGCACCGCCGCCGCCACACACCGCCCGCTGACCCTGCTCGCTGCGCCTTGGGCTTGCAGACCGGTGGAGCTGAAGGAGGACGCCTTTGCGGCATTTGCAGATGATCCCGCAGCAGCGACAAGCACTAGCGGCAAGCAGGCGGAGGCAGAGGCGGCCGCGGAGGCAGAGGCGGCCGCGGAGGCGCAGCAGGAGAAGGGGCAGCGGGGGCCCGCGTCCAAGCGTGCCGACAAGCTGCGGGGGGATGCCGGCACGCCGCAGCGCGCCCGCGAAGCGATTGATCTGGGCCTGAAGAAGTTCCAGCAGAAGGAGTACGCTGCCGCCATCGACCTGTTCCAGCTATCGCTCGAGGTGGGCTGCAAACGGGAGAGGCAAAGGGCGCCTCAGGGCAGCTGCTAGTCTTGCTGTCCGGCAGGGCTACACCGGCCCGTCATCCCGTTCATGCCGCGTGGGCTGCCCCCCCTGTGCTGCGCCGTGCAGCTGCCGGGCAGCGGCTTGATGCGCTTGAGCGGCAGCGTGCGCGAGTACAGCTGCCCCAGCGAGGGCGAGGAGAATGCGGCGCTGTACAACATGGCCTGCTGCTGGGCGGCCCTGGGACAGAAGCAGGTGGGGAGGGGACCCTCGTTGTTTGCGGCTGAGCGGCGGGCTGCCGGCGCCGCCGCATAACGCCGCCGCATCACGCTGCCGCTTGGCGCTCCTGCAAACCTCCGCCTCGCCTGGCTGCCATGCCTGGCTGCTGTGCTGTGCGCAGTCGGCGCTGACTGTGCTGGAGGCGCTTCTGGATAACAACTTTGACGACCTTGCCGCCATCCGCGGCGACCCCGACCTGGCCAGCCTGCGGGGGCCCGAGCTGGAGCAGATGCTGGCCAAGTGAGATGCGCTGCGCTGGCCGGCGCGCAAGGCGTGGCGCCCATGGCACGATGGCGCTTGCCTGCCGCGTGTGCTGCGTGCTCGGGGTGTGGTGCAGGCTGTTACATGGAGGCCGTCGCGTGGGTCAATTGTCAGGCAGGATGCGGGTGGGCTGAATCGGTGCGTGGTGTCAACTGTGCAGGCGCGACGGCTTGTTGGCAAAGTTGTTTGGGGGCAAGAAGAAAGAGCCCAGCAGCAACAAGCCCTGGATCCAATGGTGAAACCTGGTGTACAAGCGGCGGCAGCACGGCCGCCTGGTCTGGAGGCAGAAGATGATGTGCGGGCTGTGTTTCACGGAGCCTCCTTTTCCTGCCTTGCTTCACCGCGCCCCTCACTTCTTCTTGCCCTTGGGGCTCTTGGGGCTCTTGGGGGAGGCGGGCTGATCCTCCCTGGCCAGCACCTCCTGCAGCGCAGGCCCAGTGTGACGTCACTCACAACACCAGCTTGCGTACTCAGCTGCATGGTGCGCGGAGCAGGGGAGAGAGGCGGCATTCCCCAAGGGTGTTTTGTGAACCACGGCAGGCGGCGCTGGGCGGCAGGCAGGGTGCCGGGGTGGGCAGCTGCCGCGCGCCTCTCGGTACCGGTCGGCTGCCGCCTGCTTCTCGGGGTGGTCCTGCAGGAACTTGACCTCGCGGCTGTTGTCCCGCATGGCACGAGTGATGGCGCTCTTCTCGCCAGTGGTCAGCCCGCCCTGCGGCAGGAAGCGGAGGGGAGGCGGGTCGGGCGGGGCGGCCAGGGCGAGACGGAGGGTAGGGGGGCTGTCCAGCAACGCCGAGCAGGGAGGCGGGCGAAGGGCACAGAGTGGGGAGCTTGCCTCCTCGGGGTCGCCGCTGCGCTTGTCCACGCCGCCGCCCTTCTTGGCTGCGGCCGGGGAACATCCAAGGCAGAAGCAAGATCACCAGGTGCCGCTCTGCTCAACGGACCGCGGCTAAGGCGACAGCCGCCGGCCGCCGCCGGCCCGCAGCTGCTTCAAGCCCACAGACTCACTAGGCATCGTTGCTAGGTTGCGGTGGGGCTTGGGCGTTGAAGTAAGGGACAGAAGGTTTTTCCTGAGATGGAGGCAAGCAGCACTCTCAGCTAGGCTCGCTCTGATGTATTGCAGCCTTGGACGGCTGCCCAAGCCTTGGACATAGTCTGGCGCGACGCAGGTGGCCCAGGCAACAGTGGGCTGCCTTTCTGGAGCAGAGCAGGTTTCCAGGCACTCACGCACAGAGCTTCCTGAAGCCTCGGATAGCAGCCAGCGTGTAGGGTCTTGTTGGCAGCGTGGGGGCGCAGGAGAGCGATCAGGCGTTTGGGCTTTGCTCTATGCTGACAAAGCGTGCGCTGCGCCTGCCGCCGCCTGACGGGCCTTCATGCAGCTAGGCCAGAAGCACGCCTGATGTCTCTTCCAACTGGAGCATACCAACGAAACAGGCTGTTGACGCCAGGACAGTGTGTGAGACACGGTGAGAGGGGGAGTTCCGCCGTCTCCGCCCGCTGTCGCCCGCAACCAAAGCTACGCAGCGCAGGTGCATCACTTGCACGCATACATAGGGCATCGCATGGCGGCATAGTTATTCACACATCGTCTGAGGGCAAATCACATGAAGCATGCAGCCACATGAAGCAGGCACAGATGCAAGGTAAAGTGGGAACCGGCAGGGTTCATGCCGCCAGGATCCTGTTCATCAACTCCACCTCCTGCCTCAGGCTGGGGTCCCCAACCGCCGCCATCTCTCCCTCAAAGTAAGGCAGAAACTCCTGGAAAGCGCGGCGCGCCTCAGGCCCAACCGCCAGCTCCTCGCTCTGCCGCTCCCAGCGCCCCAGCAGGGGCAGCAGCACGGGGTAGGGCGGCGGCAGCAGGCAGCCATCCGGCAGCAGCCAGCGATCGAGGGCGCAGCCACCAGCGATGCTGCGCTGGCCGTACAGCTCGACAGGGACGGGGCAGTAGTCAGCGGGCAGGCTGGCGCAGTCGGTGGCGGGGATGGCGATGGGGCGGCGGCTGGTATCCACTGCTGCCCACTGATCCAGCAGCCTGCAGGGTTTGGGTGGGGGTCGGTCCTCTGCTCGGGGGGCGCTCCTCCTTTCTGCCACATTGCATACAAATGCGCACGCTGGACAGGCGCATGCAACGACCTCACGGTGGCTGCCCTGCCAGCCCACCAGTCGTGCAGGATGTCTGTGTAGCGAGCCAGCAGCACCGCCTTGCGCACACCACTGGAGCCGAAGAAGCTGCTGCCATCGCTGCTGACAGCGCCTGAAGCAGGGAGGGCCTGCTCCGGCACTGCCACGGTGCGCTGGGAGCTGCGGGCACAGGCAGAGCGAGCAGGCAGATGGCGTCAGACTTCAGTCCGTGAGAACATCAGCATCCATCGTTTGCACACCAATCCCCACCTGAACTGGCGGCCCGAGCGGTCGGTGTAGGTGACGGTGAGCTTGAGGGGGGCGTCGCCGGCGGTCGGTGGGCGCATGCGCAGCAGCACCACGCCGCCCTTGATGCCCTCCTCAGTCTTGGGGGAGGGGAACAGCGTGTTGACCTGCTTTGGGGTTGTGGAAGGGCAGGGGGTGGCCTGTCAGTGATGGTCCCGTAGGAAGGAGGCCAGGCATGGTACTGCTGTGCTGCTGCAGCCAGGCCGGTCCCACCTGCGTGACGGTGCCAGCGGCGTTCAGGGCGGTGTCGTTTGGGTTGGGCGAGCCGTAGACGTGCAGCACCTTCCACCCCTGCTCTCCCAGGCTGCCCGGGTCCACAGCCAGGGACAGGTCGAAGACCAGCGGGCTGCAGATAGGGGGAGGGGAGGAAGGGGAGACAGGGTCAGCAACAGGCAGTAATGGAGGGCAGGGTCATCACCTGCCCCTGGAGGGCAAGGCAGCCCGGCACTGGCTGCTGACGCCTGCTTGCCTGCCCCCGCACCTGACGGCGTAGTCGAATTCGTCGGTGAGGCGGCGCCTGAACTCGCCGGGCGAATGCACGCTGAAGTAGTTGGCTCCGCGCACCTTGCTGATGCCCTCCACCAGCTCTGTGTTGAAGTCCAGGCCCACGCCTGCAGCACCTCGGCAAAGAGGGGTGGCCATGCCTGGAGAGTGGCCATGCAGCTGCCTGCTTGAGCTGGTGTGATCAGTGCTGCGTGCCATCGAGCATCTTCGCTTCCCCGTGCTGCCCCAGGTTCCCTCGCTGCACACGGCCCCCTCCATCCCCTACCGATGATGGTCGTGTGGATGCCGTCTGCGGCATTGGCCTTGAGGCGGGCCAGCAGGCCCTCGTCGCTGATGTCGCCCTGGTTGGGCTGGGCGTCGGTGATGAGCACGATGCGGTTCTCGGTGGCAGCCCTGTCTGCCTCCATGCAGGTGCGGCACGCCCTCATCTCACCGGTGGCTGCACAGGCAGCAGGCAGGCAGGCAGGCAGGCAGGGCAGAGGGAGAGCCTGAGGGAGCAGAGGCACGCTCCTGAGTGGCTGGCCCAAGGAGGGCAGGCAGGGCAGCCGCTCGGAGGCTGGTATGCAGGGCGGCGTGTGTGGTGGCGCAAGCGCTCATGCACCTGCGTCCAGGCCGGCCTGCATGTTGGTGCCGCTGGTGTCGGCAATGTCTCTGCCCATCTGTAGCACGCAGAATTGAGATTGTGTGAGCAAGGACAGTGCAAATTTGAGCGTTCAGCGGCGTCGCAGGGCTGGCAGCGGCAGCCAGCTTGCCTGGCGCTTCAGGGCGGCGACGTCGGTGTCGCGCAGAGGGGCGAGCGCCCTTGGCACGCACGCCCCGTCGCTGCACAGCACAGCACACCTCGATCAGCGACAGCAGCCACAAGCACGCTGGGCGGGGTGGTGGATGGCTCGGTGGGCAAAGGGAGGCCAGCGGGCACACGTGGCAGGGACATGGCTGCTCAAACCGAGCGTGCCTCGCTCCGTCAAACTTGCCTGAACAGCACCACGCCAAACGAGTCGTCGGGCCCCAGCTTGCCCACCACCCCCGCCAGAACCTCCTTGGCCACATCCATCTTGCTCCTCTGCTCCTCTGCACCAAGAGAATGGTGGCATGGGCTGCCAGCTTACTGGGATGGCCGCCAGGCAGGCAGGAGACACCGCTTCGGCATTCCTTATGTGTGCCTGCCCGCCCTCTTGCCAGCCAGAGCTCACCACTCCCGCTGGGCTGTGCCACCTGCTGCCCGAGTTGATCGTAGTAGTAGCTGCTGAAGCTCTCCCCCATGGACCCGCTCACATCCAGCAGCACGAGCAGGTTGAGGCGCGGGCGGCGGAAGTCGGAGGCCTGCATGCCTGCGCCCACGGCATGGCGGGCGGCCAGAAGGCGAGCAAGCACACCGACGAGCGGGTGTTGCGTGGCGGGGAAGCAGCAGCAGCAGCAGCAGCAGGGAGGCAGCGCTGACCCACCAGCACCAGCCCGGCACCTTGCCTGAGTCGAGGCCGACAGCCATGTAGAGCTGGGTGGCGTTGTCCCCGCCAGCACCCAGCAGCGGGTCTGGGGCGGCTGCCAGGGAGTAGATGGGGCAGAACAGGTCGGTGCAGGGCTCAGAGGTGTTGGAGCTGCAAGCCCAGGGAGCGGCAGGATGGGGACCGGCTAATGGTGGCGCTTCAGGACAGAGACAGGTCGAGACAGGTGGACACAGCAGCCGCCTGCATGGCGGGGTGCTGATGGCGCATGTGCGTGTGTGCACCTGCGGGTGTCGAAGTAGTAGTCCTTTGCGATGCCCTCGAAGGTGACGTCTGTGGGCAGCGGGAGGTACCCCTGCTTGACGTTCTCCCTGAAGTTCTCAACGTCCTGGGCACCACCTGCAGCACAGCGGCAGCGGCAGCGGCATGCGGCTCGGCACCGGCTGGCCAGGGCGTGCACCGGCTGGCCAGGGGTGGTGTGGAGCGCAGAGAGCAGGCGCGCCCCGACCTGTGGCGAATCCCAGGCTCTCGGCGGCTGCCATAGGGGCCGCCGCGGTCCTGGCCGCCATCCCCGGCGCTGCCGGCATGGGACCCGTAGCGACCATGCCGGCGGCGCCATTAGCAGAGGGCGTCGCCAGGGAGGCGACCTGGAGGCCTGGGCTGGGCCCACCCCCTCCAGCAGCGCTGCCCCAGGTAGGCCCAGGACCATCTGCACGTTCATGGAGCGACACTTGCGCGTGAGAAGGTGCCTGCGGCTGCCAACCCGCCCAGCTTCACGCTGCTGCCGCCGCAGCCGCGGCCGCCGCCCGCCCCGCTCACACTCGACTGCTCCGAGCTCAGCAGGGCAGCTGGCCTGCTCGTAGCCCCAGGTGGTGGTGTTGGGTGTGCCAACCTCCGCCAGGGGAGCCTCGGCAGTGAGAACGCGCGAGGTGCTACCCGAGCAGGCGCAGCCGAGCAGCGCGGCCAGGAGAAAGAGCCTTGGAGGCGTCATGGTGCATGCGTCTTGACTAGAAGGAAAGAGCAGAGGTTGAGGCTCCTGAGGCGGCCACGTCAGCGCCAGCGCGGAGTGCCTTCTGGGCTCCCCCCGCCTTTGTTTGGTATAGGCACGGATTTACATGCACGTGGAGAGCGGAGCGAGCAGCACGAATTGAGAAAAGGGGTGTTCACAAGCAAGGGGAACATGTGGAAGTACTGTACATCATCAGCAGGGCAGAGGTCAAAGTTGTGTAGGTCCTGGACAGAGTCAAGTCATTCGAGAGTTGTCTGTGCCGCAAAGAGAGCAGCTGTCGTGAAAGAGGTCCATATTCTCGGTGCAGGGGCCCCTGGATCACGCCCGCGCACGCTTGAGCTGCGGCCTGGCCCCTCCGGCCTTGCTCTTGGCCGCGGGCTTGGCTGCCGGCGCTGCCTTGCCCCTGGCCTTGCTGCCGCCGCCTTGCGCGCCGTTTGTGGCGGCGCGGTTCTCCTGCCCTGGAGACTGGACACCCTCAGGCTGCTGCTGCTGCTGCTGCTGCTTGCGGCGCGGCTGTCGAGGCTGCTGCTGCTCCTGCGGCGGCTGGGAGACCTCCTCATCGGCCGTGTCTGCTCTGAGGCCGATGGCAGCTGCCTTGACCACCACCGCGGCCGCCACGGCCGTCACCTGCTTCCGCCGCGACTTGCCGGGCGTGGCCTCTGGGCTGCCCAGCGAGGCATTCTCAAAGTCGCTCAGGGCCATCGCATCACCCTCCTCCTCCTCCTCTTTGGCCTTGGCTGCCGGCGCTGGCGCTGCTGCTGGCGCTGCACGTCCGCCGCGGGGAGCAGCCTCCCGCTCCTGGCTGCTGTCTTCCTCCCACCCGTCATCTGGGTCCTCCTCCACATCAGATGCATCCTTGAGCTTGCCGGCAGTCTCGCCCTTTGCCCCCCTCCTTGGCTGCTGACGGGTGGGAGTCGGGGCGGCCGCCTGGGCTGCGGCGCCACGCTTCTTGACACCTGCACCAGCCAAGCCACACCAGATCAGACGTTGAGCAGAGGACTAAGCAACACATACCCGTTGGCTGGCATCAGCAGGGCAGATTTATGCTGACAGCAATCAGCTGGATCGCACCTGCTGCTGTCGCCCTCTTTTTTGCCTTTGGCGCTGGCGCTGCCTCCTCATCTCCCGCTGCGCCGCCGCCAGCGCTCTCGCCCTCGCTGTCATCCTGGCCACGCCTGCCGCGCTCGCCTCCCGCCGCCACTTTCTGCTTGCCGCGCCGCCCGCTGCTGCCCGCAGGCTGCTGCCGCTCCTCCTCCCCATCCGATGCGTCCGACTGGTGGTGCGGGGTGCCGCCCACAGACTCCTCCTCTGCAGCGGTTCCGGCACGAGGCAGCATGTCAGTGCGGAGCCTACAATCCAGTACCGACTGAAGAAAGCAGTGCAGGTCACGGCAAGGTTGGCGCGATTCGCAGCCAAGCGCTGCCCCGGCACAGCAACAGACACGCCTCCCGCCTCATCCAACCCCTTCCACGCACCGCCCGCCTCCGCCATCTCCTCGTTCCCATCTGCCGCCTTGGCCGCCTTGCGCCGCTGCGACCCTGGCTTGGGGCGCGGCTTGCGGCCCTTGGCGGGGCCCGGCAGCTGCGGCATGAGCAGCCTGCAGTTGGGAGGGGACAGCAGCAAGCGTGGACTGGGCTGAGGGCCGCTGCACGTGCTGCAGTGCCGCTAGCCGACGCCGCCATGCGCCACCACGCCCCCACACCTGCGCATGAACAAGTCATCCTCATACAGGCCCGGAGAGAAGTAGCGGTCTGGGGGCAGGTGGCTGCCGTCCATGCGCTTGGCTGCAGGGCAGGTGGGGTGGGTGGGGTGTGCGTGTTGTGATGGTGCGGTGGTGGGGGCGTGCAGCTGAATACTTGCTGGAGGGAATGCAAGAGGGGCAGCCGGCGGGGCTGCAGGAGGGAGTGGCGCGTGCGTGCTGCCCCGGCCCTTGCTCACGCTGCTGCAGGTTGGGCCTGAAGATCAGCTTGGGGAGCACCACCTGCGCCGGGAAGTGCCCCGGCTCGGCAGGCTTGCCCTTGGTCAGCCGCATGCTGATCTGCTTCAGCAGCATCAGGCCCAGGTCACACAGCTGGTGCACCTCCTGCACGGCAGGGCGGCGGGTGCGGGGAGGCAAGGGCCAGGGCTGGGCGCAGGCTGGCGGGCAGGCGGAGGGAAGCGGTGCCGCCAGGCCTGGCCATGGCAGTGGATATCCGACGGGCTCCAGGAGCGGAGCAGCCAGCCTGGCGAATCACGCCTCTTTGCCCAGCAGGAGAACACGGTGCCTCCCCACCTGCGTGCGCGGCTCAACAGACGTGTCCTCACAAAACTTTAGCGTGCGCAGCAGCTTGAGGGCGGGCGGCAGCCCGCGCGCCACCTCTCCAGCGCTGGTGGGCTGCTCCGCGGGCACCGCCAGCGCCTCCAGGGCAAACTGCGCAGGCAGCCCGAAGCAGCAGGGGGAGGCGCTCAGGCAGGCCCGGCCTGGGCGGCACGGCTGGCCACAATCGGCGGCAGGGGAGCGGCGCTGTGCCGTGCGGCCGCTCGGAGCACGTGCCAGCGGCCCCAGCCTCCTGCCGCCGTACCCCGCACGGCACCCTACTCTCCCCGTGCCCCGCCCCACCTGCAGCATGCCCATGAAGGGTGCAAAGGGCCCACCCTCCCCGTACATCTCCTCCCGCTCCTCCTGGCTGGCCTGGCTGTACTCATCCAGGCGCTGCGGCAAGGAAAGAAAGCAGAGGAGTAGGACACGGCGGCCGAGGGTGAGGCGCAGGAGGCCACCGATGCGCCAGTGCGCAGCCCAGCGCAGCGGTGGCTGGTGTTCCACCATGGTTGCCACTCCCGTCAGCCCAGCAAGTGCAACGCGTCGCCTCGCCGCCTGCGCCACCCAGCGTTCACCCCAGCCTGCCCGCCCCACCCCGCCCCGCGCCCACCTCCTGCGTGGGGTAGTCTGGGTGGTGCGCCAGCAGGAAGAGCAGGTAGGCCAGCATGAACTCCGGCATGTCGTGCAGCAGGGCGCCGCCGCCGCCGCCGCCGGCCGCGGTGATGGCGGCCGCGCGCGCCACCGCGCGCCTGCGCGGCCGGGCAGGCAGCACAGCGCAGTTGAGGGTGACGTGGCAGGGCGACTTAGGCTGGCAAGGAGATGCGTGTGGCCACTAACCATCCATCCAGGCAGGGCCCCAAGCCAGGTATGGCATGCCTGCCAGCCCGAGCTGCGTCCCCACCACCCCAGCTACATCCCAGCCCCAGCGACAGCCCACCTGCGCTGCAGCACAAAGTCGCGCAGCGTGCGCATCGCGTAGGCGCGGTTGTGCTCCTCGGGGTCCACCGCAAACAGGGCCAGCACCGCAGCATACTTGGCAGCACGCTGCGCGCAGAAGGTCTGCAGCAGGTCGGGGGCAGGGGTGGGATGGCGCGCAGCGAGCGCAGGCGGACGTGACTTGTGTGTGTGTGTGCGCGCGCATGCGTGCAGAAGAGCAGGCAGGGCAAGGTGCCGCCAGCCCCGCCTCCCCCTGGTGCCCAGCCCACCTGCGGCCTCCCCGCCAGCAGCGTCACGGTGCGCTGCAGCTTGGCTGTCATGGCGCGGCGGGGCTCCATGAGGGGCTCCTGGAAGGTGAGCGCCAGGTTGGCGTACAGCGGCGCCGGCATGGCTGCGTCATAGGCCCGCGCGAGGCGCAGCAGGCCACACACCGCAGAGTACCGCACCCACGCCGCGTCTGCGCCCATGGCAACAACAGCGGAGGGTGGGATGGCGAGGGGCGAGGGGTACAGGGGCAAAGAAGGGCAGGGGCGGGCGCCTAGCACGAGCATCTGTTGGTGCCAGCCTCTTGCTCCCATCTGCATCCTCTGCCCCCTGCCTCGCCGCCGCACTCACCCATGCAATCCAGCTCCTCATCCTCCTCCTGCTCCTCATCCTCCTCGCTGCCACCCTCCACGCGCCGCCGCTTGGCCCGCCGCGTCTCGCGCTGCAGCTCTGCGTGCTCGGGGTCGCTGGTCCTGGGGAAGCTGCAGTAGGAACAGCGGCGACGTCACAAAGAGACAGCAGGACCAGGCTCCAAAGCTCAGGCGGTCCCAACACGGAGTTCCCAAGTGCCCGCAAGCAGCCCGCTAGCCCACCGCCCCTGCTGCTGCCGCTGCCGGGCACGCTCACACAAGGCTGAAGGGCTTGAACTGCGGCTCCCCCTCGTCCGAGTCCAGCAGCGGCTCCAGCAGCTCCCACACCACAGCGGCGCGCTCCGACATCGCCTGCGCGCCGCCACGGACCAGGCGCCGCCGCTCTGTTTCGGGAGGTCGCGCGGGCAGGCAAAGAAGACGGGCCGAGGGAAAGGGCAGGGCAGAAGCACAACACGCCCTGATCTCACGAGGGCAAACGCCAGCGGCAAAGATTCGGCCCCACCTGAGTGATGTCTGCCTTGGAGCTGTCCGGCACCAGGGCCTGGCACAGCGTGCGCAGCGCGGCGGTCTTGGAGGCGGTCACGGCGGAGGGGCGGCGCCACAGGCGCCCAGCCGCCACTGCGGGCCGCGCCTCCACGCCGGGGAGCGGCTTGCCCCTGCACCCCAGGCCACACAGGGGGTTCAGCACGGCGGCATCGCGTCCAGCTGCATGCGAGTGCCACGCTCCTTGCTGCTGAACCGAACCACCAGGGCGCCCCTTCCCGCTCCCATCTCCTAATGGTCCATCGACCATGCCCAACCACCCCCAACCACCCACTCCCCCACACACATGCCCACCCCCTGGGCCCTGCCCACCCACCCGCTCATGTCTGCCTCCAGCAGGTCTCCCACCACAAAGTCCAGCACCTCGCCCGCCCTCGGCTCAAACACCTCTGGCAGCAGGCGGCCCACCACCGACAGGCCCTTGAGCGCGGCCAGCAGGGAGCCGTGGGAGGCGAGCGTGGCGGGCGCCTGTGGAGAGCCGGGGCAGAGGCACGGTGACAGCCCTGCATGCGGAACATGCAGCAAGAGCACGGGGCACCCGCAGGCCGGCCGAGGTATCTTCAGCCATTAAAAATGCGGCTGGGGCTTGCCTTGAGCCTGTCCAGCAGCGAGTCTGCCAGCTCCCCCGCCACCTCAGCCGCCTTGTCCTGCCCCGCCAGCACCACCAGCGCCTTGGCCGCCGCCTTGACCGCTGCGGGGCCGCCCTCTGTGCACATGGCCTTGAGCCGAGCCAGCAGCTGCAGGCATATGGCAAACAGCAGTGTGGCGTCAGCAACCAAGGAGACGCCGAGGCTTGTCAAGGTTGGGCTGGAAGGTGCAGACCAGCTGACTGCTGAAGCCTCACCGACTGCGGCACCCCCCGCTTGGCCCTCTGGCAGTGCGCCAGCATGCCCTTGCCAGTGTGCGCCAGCACCTTGGCCCCACACTCTGCCACCGCGGGGTCGTCCGACTCAAACATCTCCAGCACCTGGTCCAGGCTCTGCACAGCAGGCACAGCACGGCACAGGTCACCAGGCAGGCAGCTAATTCATTTTTCTTTCTTTGATTGAGATGTATCTGAGAACACGAGTGGCAGCCGCAGCAAATCGACATTGCCTCCATGAAGCTGCCGCCTGCCCCCAGGCCTGCTGCAGCAGCCAGCGGCTCCGAAGGGCAGAGTTCCACTCAAGCACCAAAGGGCCCACCTGAGCCAGCAGGCGCGGCGCCGCCGCCGACACCGCCACAAGGAAGCGCTGGACTGCGAGGCAGGCAGGCAGGACAAGCGCAGCGGGCAAGGGTGCATGGATCTAGCCCCTACACCGCTGGATGTCGCCCTTGGCCCCTCCACCACAGCAGCCCGTCCCTCCTGGACCACACATTGCAATACGGACCCCCCAGCCGACCCCACCCACCATCTTCGCTCTGCTCCGCCTCCTCCATCGCCGCGTGCAGCACCTCTGGCGACAGCAGGTTGGGGGTGAGGCGGGCCACCAGCACACGCACCAGGTCGGCAGCGGGCCCCTTGGACCCAACTCGCTGCAGCACTTCCTTGCCGGCTGCGGGGCAGGGCGGGGCGGTGGTGGTGGTGGGGTTTCAGGCAGCCTTCGGGCAGCTGCGAGCAACGCTCAAGACAAGGGAGGAGAAGGCAGGAGACGCTGCTGCCATGCCAGGCAGGCAGGCAGGCAGGCACCGCACCCGCCACCGCGTCCTTGTACGTGCAGCCGTGTACGGCCAGGGTGGCCAGCCCCCGGAAGATGTGGTTGTCCTTGGCCTCAGCCAGCTTCTGGAGGCCTGCAGGCAGGAAAGGTGCACGGGGCAGGGCAGGCAGTAGGCATGCGTTTATGCCGGCGAGCAGGGTGTCAAGCTGTGGAAAGAGGCAGGAGAGGTCTCAACAAGCAACGCAGCGAAGCAGACACGCAGGCAGGCAGCAGCGGCTGGCCGGCTGCCAGCACAGCATGGCATCAGCGCCTAGGACAGACCCACCTTCCTCCGGCTTGCTGGCACCCCACAGCGCCCCCACCAGCTCCGCCATGCAGCTCTGCAGCTGGGCCTCCGGGTTGGCCATCCGCCGGCCACCCGCGCCGCCGCCGCCGCGAGTCGAGCCCAAAGCCGCACCGCCGCCCATCGAGCCGGCTGCGCCCATGAGGCTGGACGCGCGCTGCTCCTTGGCGGCCGCCCGCAGCGCCAGGAAGTGCTGCACCTGCGCCTGGATGGCCACCTTGCCATTCAGCACCTGCGCCAGCATCTGCCGGTTCTCGTCGCCTGCAGGCAGGCAGGCAGGGCAGGTGCAAGGCAGCTCAGCAGCAGCAACGGTGGTTGGGGAGGGCATGGTGCCAACACGGTGTTGCTGGTGGTACAGCCTGCACATGTGTGGAGCAGCACCTTTGTAGGCATCTGGCGCAGGCCAGACCAGCCCAGGCCAACACACCTGCTTGGAACCAGAGCTGCGCCCAGTAGCGCGCCACGTCAGCGGGCGCCAGCTTGGCGGGGAAGATGCCGGCCCTGAACACGGTGTCAAAGATGTGGCCACGTAGCTCCGGGTCCCGCACCCCGCAGTTGCAGAGGACCACGGGGATGGCCAGCATGGTCTGGGTCTCGGGCGAGGCGCCGCCGCCAGCGGTAGAGCCGCCGCCGCCGCCAGAGCCACCCTCTGCCGCCGCCAGCGCCCAGGTGCGCACCAGCGCCGCCATCTGGCTGGCCACCTCCCGCCGCACGGCGACCTTCTTGTCGCGCAGGCGCAGCGACAGGCAGTGCAGCAGGCGGCCGCGGCCGTTGGTGGCGGTGCTGATGGCCAGGCGCGGGTGCTGCTGCAGCACGGCGCACACGGCGGCCACCGCCGCCTTGCGCACGCCCTCGTCTTGGTCAAACAGCTTCTCCGTCACCGTGCGCAGCACCTCCAGCTGTCGCTCCTCGTGGCCCCCGCACGCCTCCATCAGCGGCGCAATGCACTCGGTCGCCTTGCGCCGCACCTCAGCCTGCGCCACGCAAGCAAGCCACGTCGGGGGGGACATCAACCCGGGCACATTGGCTTTTTCCTTGCAGTGGGCTGCTGCGTCCTAATTTCAGCCACACATGCCTACCAAGGCTAGGCCCATTGCAACAGCGGGCACTGCCCGGCAGCACGCCCCAGCAGTACCGCGCACCCGCCACACACAACCGCCACACACGGCCACTCACCTCCACGTCGTTGGCGCGCCCCAGCAGCGCCTTGAGCAGCGGCTCATACTCATCCAGGATCTTGGAGGCGCCGCCGGGGTGCTGAGTCAGCAGCTTGGCCACCAGCTCCACCGCCGCCCGCCGCTTGGAGCCGTCCCCCTCCCCCTCCAGCTCCTCGCGCAGCTGCGGCTCCAGCGGCAGCAGCGCCTGCGGCACCGTCTCGTGCACCTGCGCCACCAGCGGCAGCAGCTGTTGGCCACCGGCGGAAGGCATGCCCCCATCTGCATGCCGCATGCCGCTGGCATCCACCCCCCATGCATGCCAATCTTTCCCTCCCACCAAGCTTGCGCACACACCCCTTCATCCACCCACCGCGTAGAACAGCTCATAAGCATCGTCCTTGAGCTCGCTGTCGGTGCGCACGCCGGTCAGCAGCGCCTTGAGGAACTTCTGCAGGTAGGGCTGCACCGTGGTCTCGCACCGCTGCAGCAGCGCGGCCACCAGCGCCGCCGCCGCAGGCGCCTCGGCCGCGGCGCGCGGCAGCAGGCGGCCCAGCAGGATGTCCAGCTGCTGCTGGGGCAGGTCGTCGGCCTCCTCCACCATGCTGCGCAGCAGCTCCAGCACCGTGCCCTCCAGCACCCCCGCATTCTCCTCGCTGCGGCGCAGACGGCAGGCTCGCAAGCCAGGGATGTGAGCAGGGCCAAAGCTGGCAGCCGCGCTGTGCAAGGGCAGCTTTGTTTAGCAGCGCCACTAACAGGTGTGGCAGAACGGCAGGCAGCCGGCGGGCAGCTGCTCACTTGACCGCGTCCAGCAGCGTGGCAAACAGGTTGCACACCAGCTCTTCGGCATTGGGCAGGTCCAAGATGAGCAGCGAGCACTTGACCTGCCGCAAAGCACAGGTGGGCAGGCAGGCAGGCAGGTAGGCCCTCCATGAGAGGCACGTCCGGGGCAAGGCTGGCTGGGGGCTGGACAACGCACCCCTGCCACGGCTGCAGCAACAAGCTTGCACATTCTTCCCTGTTGCCCACACCGCTACTCCCGCTGCTCTCAAACCACGCCGCTGCTTGCACCCACCTGGCTGACGGTCTCCAGGATGGAGAGGCAGAGCTGGAAGTGGGGCGAGGCGGGATCCTCCAGCTCCCCATACGTGCGCGTCAGCAGCTCGAAAATGCCCTGCGGTAACAGCCGTGACGACCTCTTGCAACCCACACAGCAGTGGTGCACCGGCAAGCTGCAAAGCAGCACCCACACCCACCTGCAGCTGGTCGTCTGTGTAGGGCGTGTCTGGCGCGTTCAGCCGCAGGATGTGGCAGAGGCAGAGCGCCGTGTAGAGGCGCACCTCCTGCAAACGCGTGGCGGCGGCGGCGCGGCGATGCATTCCCACGGTTGCGCCGGCAGCGGCACAAGGGCTGCCGGCGGGCCACAGCCTTGCCCAGACCCGCCCAGCGCGCCCCCGCACCTTGTCCTTGTGGCGCAGAAATTCGGGGCGGCCCAGGCCCTTTGCTAGGTTGTGGGCAGCGAGCTTGGCGCTCTCGGAGCTCTGAGCAGCCTCGGCGAGGCTGTCCCCCGCGCCCTGCAGGCCGCATGGCAGCCCACCGCGGGGGGTGATCACAAGTGTTGGGCCCCTGAGCGGCGCCAAGGCACCCACACGGCCGCCTGCCCACCTTGAGCAGCCGCAGCAGGGCGTCCTTGCCCTTTGGCGGCGACAGCAGCGCCTTGCCGGCCTTGTCAATCTCCTCGTGGGCGTCCTCCTCCTCATTGAACTCATACGAGCTCCTTTTGCCGGTGCCCATATTTCGAAGACAGCCGCACGCAGCTCTTAACTGGGGTCGCTCATAACCGCTGCTGGCGAATGCTGGCAGAAGGGGGAGGCCAGGGCAGGAGGCTGCGGCCACCTGTGCTGCATTTCATGTGCTGTGGCTTTCTTTGGCCGGGCCGCCCAATTCGCCGGCAGGGCGGCCCCAACATCCATCGGCAGCGATTTGTGTGCAGCTGCAGCGGCTGGCGCAGCCCAGGCGCGGCTTTTTGGCAGAATGGCCGGCGACGACGACGATTTCGTGGCGGGGGGCAGCGAGGAGGAGGAGGAGGAGTATCAGGAGTCTGAGGTGCGGCTTCGGAAGCACGCTGGGGTCTCAACCCCACGCTCAGCGATCACCTTTGTGGCACAGCCCCCGCCCGCTCTGCCCTTGCTGCGAGCTGCGGGCACCCTGCACTCAATCCAATGCTTGCGGAGAGCGGCGCAGCGCACGGAGCTACCTTCGGGAGTAAGTGTGAACGGCGGTGGCCGTGGCGGCAGCATCACCCAGCCCGCCCACTTGCCACCCGCCCTGCAGGAAGCTGCCTCCGACGATGAGGATGAGGAGGATGTAGGCCGACACCGCAAGAAGGCGGCTCAGAAGGAGGAGGTGAAGAAACCTGCCAAGGGGAAGAAGAAGAAGCGGAGCGGTTTCATCGACGATGCTGCCGAGGAGGTGCGGCTAGCGGCGGCTGATTTGCTCCGCTTTCCTCTCGAGCCACCTGCCGCCTGTTGAACAGAGGAGAAGCAGCGCTTGGCAGCAGCAGGGTGCACGTGCCTTCAGCAGGGGCAGAGGGCCTGGCGCTGGCTGAGCGCACTCCCTGTTGGCAACGGCATGCAGGAAGAGGACGGCAGGGCTGGCCGCAAGCGCTTGCGCGCCTCCGCCTTCATCGACGATATCGCAGGCAAGCTGCCGCTGCTCAGCAGGGGGTGCAGCAGCCGGCAGGCACGCGGTGGGCAGCCCGTCGCACCGCTGCGTGCGAGACTGCCAGGGCTGCCGCCGGCCTTGGCGTGTCGCGTCACCCTCGCCCAGCCTGCCCCCATGCCGTGCTGCAGAGGTGGACGATGATGAGGATGAGGACGACATGGAGGCAAGCGGCTGTGCAGCAGCTCGGCGCTGGGCAGGCGCTCGCTTCCTGAGCGCGCCCCGCTGCGTGCCTGCCCGCCTCCATCCACCCCCCTGCGGCTCCCTTCCCTCACCCGCGCTCTCCTGCCTTCG